TTCCGATCTCCCCTGGGATGTCCCTTGTTCCCAGGGAGATGGTCCTCAGGGGACGGGGTCTCCTGTCCCCATGTCCCCGGGGGGGTCCCGTGTCCCCAAGGGGGACGCTTGTCCCCTGGGATGTCCCTTGTCCCCAGGGAGATGGTCCCCAGGGGATGGGGTCTCCTGTCCCCAGGGGGGTCCCTTGTCCCGAAGGGGGACGCTTGTCACCAGGGATGTCCCTTGTCCCCAGGGAGATGGTCCCCAGGGGATGGGGTCTCCTGTCCCCAGGGGGGTCCCTTGTCCCGAAGGGGGACGCTTGTCACCAGGGATGTCCCTTGTCCCCAGGGAGATGGTCCCCAGGGGATGGGGTCTCCTGTCCCCAGGGGGGTCCCTTGTCCCGAAGGGGGACGCTTGTCCCCAGGGATGTCCCTTGTCCCCAGGGAGATGGTCCCCAGGGGACGGGGTCTCCTGTCCCCATGTCCCCAGGGGGGTCCCTTGTCCCGAAGGGGGACGCTTGTCCCCAGGGATGTCCCTTGTCCCCAGGGAGATGGTCCCCAGGGGACGGGGTCTCCTGTCCCCATGTCCCCAGGGTGGTCCCTTGTCCCGGGGGGGGACGCTTGTCCCCTGGGATGTCCCTTCCGGGGGGATGTCCCTTGTCCCCAGGGAGATGGTCCCCAGGGGACAGGGTCTCCTGTCCCCATGTCCAGGGGGGTCTCCTGTCCCCATGTCCCCAGGGGGGCTTGTCCCCACAGGGGATGGGGTCTCCTGTCCCCAGGGGGTCCCCTGTCCCCAAGGGGGGTCCTTTGTCCCCTGGGATGTCCCTTGTCCCCAGGGAGATGGTCCCCAGGGGATGGGGTCTCCTGTCCCCAGGGGGTCCCCTGTCCCCAAGGGGGGTCCTTTGTCCCCTGGGATGTCCCTTGTCCCCAGGGAGATGGTCCCCAGGGGATGGGGTCTCCTGTCCCCAGGGGGGTCCCTTGTCCCGAAGGGGGACGCTTGTCCCCAGGGATGTCCCTTGTCCCCGGGGAGATGGTCCCCAGGCTCAGAGGTCTTCTGTCCCCTTGTCCCCAAGGGGGGGTTGCTTGTCCCTGTCCCTGGGGGACACGGGTCCTCGCTGCTCCAGGGGTCCCTTGTCCCCGGGGGGGTGTGTGTGTGTGTGTCTCTTGTCCCCTTACCCCTGGGTTGTCCCCAAGGGGGTGTCCCCTGTCTCCAAGGAGCGTCCCTGAGGTGTCCCCCCTCCCCAGGAGCATCCCTCGTCCCCTACTGCCAGGGCTGGTCCCCAACGGGTCCCTTGCGGGGGGGGGGGGGGGTGTCCCTGGGGTTTCCCCCTGGGGGTGGC